CATGTGGACAGCAATGGAACAGAACAGTAACGCCCCCAAGGTGTGAGACCCACACTGGGGAAAGTCTCTTTTTGCTTACCCAATCTCGAGACAGGTGAGAGGACACACAGCACAGGGTCAGCCAGTGTGCAGCACCCCCCCTTTAACTGGGGGTAAAGAGCCTTAGTCAAGGGCCCAGCAGCCGAATGAGTCTGCCAGACCCAGGATTCGAACCAGCCACAATCTGATCACAGGTACTAAGCCCGATATCACTGAACCACATCTCACTTCCCATTATAGAAGCACGACTGATTACAGGTCTCAATCAGTCACATTTACTTGGTGTGAGAGCCACTGAAACTCTGTGGTTGTTATGGACACAAACATCGTCTGACATCCTTGAGCATGTTGCGCAGGGCAGACTGGCCAGGATTAGCCAGATAATGGAATAAACGCCAATAGCAGGTTAGCTAGTACAGCTGCTGGGGGTGAGGAGATTACTGGAGAGAGGATGGTAATGAAGCTGTTCAGCTATCTAAAAAGGCAGATCCTTTTAAAATTCCCCAAGCACATATAGAGCTGAGATCAAGTGAAGGACAAATGAAAGTGGATCTCGGATCAGAAGGAGGCTTTTATATTGTGGCAAAGTGGTGGCATGGAGATGGGTTGGGAAGCTCAGCTGGGTTGGATCTTTCGCCCTGACATTCCAGCCTTGCTTTACTTATTACAAAACACATCATTTATCTTTCTTTTCGGGCACCCCCCTCCGCACCCCCACCCTGCTCCCCTTCCTCCCTTCGGACTCTCCTGGCTCCCTCAAACTACCACCACCTCCCCCAACACTGCCCCCCCCATCACTATCCCCCCTGAAAAGTTGATACTGTCCTCTTGTCCCCCAACCATTATCTATCGGCACTTACTCTTTATTGGCAAAAGCTTTGTCTTCATTTTCTTTATTTGAGTTCTGAGGTACACAGATTCAGCACCACCTATTCCACCCTATCCAGTCCTCCCTTTCTCATAAATGCACCGGGCCTCTGTTGATAAACATCTAACACTGGGAACTTTGCTGCCTGTGATGCCCTAAAATTGGGCATATATATTTGTTATATATATATATATATATATATAACAAACAATAAGAAACAACACGGAGCACATTATTGTACAACCAAACTCAAACTAGCCACTGGTATGATACATCAGCCACAAAATGTACGTTTTGTGATGAATTAAATTTAAATTATTAGATCTTGTCAGGCCATCTGTCCATTTATTTATAGTATTTAGAGTCCTGTTGGACGAAATCTTCCGGTTGTTGAATCAATTTTCAAATACGATCAATTTTAAGTTAATCAAATAGTTTGATGTGTGTTTCTGGATTAAGGGAAGAACTTGCCGTTTCAGGTAAATGTTACTGGTCCCAGCAAGAGAAAATGCGATTTTTATTATAGTCCACAAAGTTGCTTAAAGGCACCTTTCTCCGGGTAAAGAGCGCATTAGGTTCAAGTGCATTTCAACACATTACACCCATTATAATAGCTACAAAAGATAAGATACGATTCACGGATTTTCAGTCTTACCTTCGAAAAATCTTCGCAAGGCTTCCGTTTCATCAACCACGTCCATCCTACCGAGTGCCCCTCGAAAAAGCCATGAAAGTCTCCTCTTCCAAAACGAGCAGATGTGCGCCGATCGGGACTTTCAGCGAAAACGCATCCCAATGAGTTTGCACAGACTTTCTCGTTTGATGCTTTTTTTTCCGGGAATCTTCGCTCACCTGAATAAACGTATCACTAAAAGATTTCGTCCCTCCCTTTTCAGCGAAGAAACGGGCGCTATTCTTTTTCAATACATACTTAAAATGCTAACCTACGCCTAATGTCCTTGCTGGAAAGTTGGGAGTTTCCCTTTGTCCTTCCGTCCAGCTAGCATTTTAAAATGTACAAATCCTGCCCTATGCGCTGGTAATATTGAAATGCCCAATTAGACGCCCCCGTACACTTAAGGACAACTAAAAGTAAGTATCTGGTGTTACAACTGAAAGTGGTTATAGCCCTGTATCATTATAACAGCCTCAGTTTTACTACGCTCTACTGTACCTAATGACTAAAAGTCTCATTTCCCTGTTTAATGATGTTACTGGATAAGAAATTGACTGCCCAGTGCAACAATGTACAGCACAAGCGTGAACTTTGGCGTCACTGACCCCCCTCGTTCATCGTTTGTCCCTGTGGTCAGTTTTACATCGATCAACAGTTCGAATAGTTTATCCAGGGTACCTTTTTAATCGTAATTTTCACACCAGAAACTGCGACAGGTGTTTTAGCATAACGCGGCAGTTGTGCTCTATACAGACAACTGTGTAACCTGGCAGATTTTGCCGATTTATACGAAATACATCCTCTTTCATTTCCTACTATCACAACGCTATTAAATCATTCAGATTAATTTTCCATCTAATCTAATTCGTTTCTAAAATATGCTTGACTATATGAATATTTTATGGTAACAAATCACTTGCTACACATATAGTCATTAAGCGACAAATATGGAGAAAAATATGTAGATTACATATTATTATTTTACTTGCAGATACATATCCATCGCAGCTTCAGACTGCAACAAACGGAAAATGATTATTTATATAAAGTTCATTATTTCGAAGATATCTAAAAAAATTGCTGAATATGTTGTATGGACTCGTAGGTAATACAGTATACATGTAGTGATTTAATTGTTTTTATGATGAAATAAGTGATGACGTGATCATTAATGCGTAAAACAATATTATTGGCCTATAAAACTCTGATCACTGGTCATTGATGGTCACTTTGTCGCTTACTATCAGGTCGGAAGATTGAACATCTGAGAGGACCATTGTCCATCACCATATTACCATTGTCCATCACTGCGGTGAAATAAAGCCTTTGCGTGCAGAAATTTACTGGCTTGTGTCAGTTTGAAGTACGTTGTTGAACCATTGAATATTATCAGCTATTTTTCCAGGAATATGAGGTAGAAGCTGGGGGGGGGTTCTGTCAACCCAATTTATTAAGCACCTGTTTAGGTTGTATCCTCAATAGCTTCTTAATAAATTGGGTTTTCGTATCATTATAAACGTAACTAAGTTGCGGCAGTTGAAATTAATGAAGATTGTTGTATAACTAAGAAAACGATTTGTTTGAATCAGGTCCTGTGTATGTGTCCTTCCACTCCAGCTCTGTCCACCCACCTCCGCTCCCTTGGGGGGAGATGCTGTTTGGTTGTCTTGTCCCTCACAGCTGGATTGCTTCTCTCTCTCTCTCTCTCCATCGCATTTCCTTGCCTGTTTGCTCTGAACAACGCATCTGTTCTTTCGGTTACACAGCTCGGATTGTTTAGGAGGACACAGACGCGCAAGAGAGAGAGATAGAGACGAAGTGTGACAATGAAACAGCTGGGATGGTTAAAGCAGTTCATTCTGCTCTAGCTGTGTGTGTGAGACAGAGAGAGAGAGAGAAAGAGAGTGAGAGTGTGTGTGAGTGTGTGTGTGTGTGTGTGTGTACGCGCATGTGTACTTCAGCATCACCGTTTGATTCTTTGTTTAAGACTTAAATCTGTCTGCAAACTGAATAATTATGCACATTTGGGACAGTTTAGCTGGAGGATCCAGCCAAATCATTTATGTAGTTATTGTGGTTTATTTTATTATACTGGAGCAGCAATATTGCTGGCATCGTTAACATTGATTGGGTGGCCAGAAACAGCAAATGTAACTGGGCAGAATAGACTGGATCCAACTCTTACACGAACAAGAGGAAATATCCAAGTCCAAAATGCAACAATCACCAATGAATTTACAGGTCCCATATACTATGGTCTTCATGAAATTTCCATTTCCATCCCACTTGAATCATTAGGAAATATTCCAGTCCTATGACCTCAAGGAAATTTCCAGGACACTATGACTACCTGGCAGTTTCTGAATAGGCCTACAAACTGAGGGACAACTACCTCTCCTAATGCTTGGTGAGAGTGTTGCTTCCCAGCAAGATACATAGCGCTGGACTGTGAGCTTGCGTGTGATATTATATCACACGCAGACTAGCCTGGGGTTCTATAATTCTCAGATTGAGGGATACAGATGGGGCTGGAAATGAAACTCACCCTCTCGGCCGAAGCAAGCAATTTAGATGAAGGATCAGTACAAAAAACTGAACCCTAGCCCACTAGCTATTAGCATTGTGAAGCTGCACACCTGGACACAGGTGTCTTCCTGGACTTGCGTAGTTCCCAAACAAAGCTCTGCGTTCGGCATTCTTCACTGACATTAACTGTATGATTTAACTCCTTCACAGATCCAGCTACAACATTGTTTCAGCATCTTCCACCATCTCTTGGGGCCCCTCTCAACCCAGCAAGCGTGTGGCTCACCTACCCCACGCGCTCCCACGTCAGCGGTATGAAGGGAGCATCCGTGTTTGCAAGACGCTGGTGTCTCGATTTTCAGCGCCGGTGCCTCTCCTGTAGAGAGGTTTGCAGCATTTCAGTATCCCTGGCTTACTGGGGCACTGCAATGTGGGTGGTGACGAGTGGGTGGGTGCATATGTGTGTGTGGAGACCAGATCCACATATGAGTGTGTTAGTGTGAGCAATAAAAATGCCCAAATTCGTAAATATGGAGTTTAATGTTTAGATGAAGAATAAAGAAATATAATTCATTATGTCACCGTGACAGAGTGAAAATAGATGATGGGGGGAAAACCAGAAGATTTCCACATTTTTTTGTGTGTTCGAAGTTTGGCAGCGTTAAAGCCAGACTTTGCAGAGGATAACTGAATTCATACACAGGGTAGCTCTGGTTGTACCTCATTTGAATCAGCAGCAAATTCATCACTGAAATGAATGCGGACGTTTCCATCCGAAGTCACACCCCCCGGTATCTCAAGTGGCGCGAAACCATTTTTCAGCAGCTAAAGTGACAAGGGCAGCTGAAAAGAATTAACAAGCAGGCGATTAATGATTTTCTTAACCTTTTCTTTTGAGATTGAGTTTTTTATTTATTTATTACAGGCAGACCAGTGTGCTTGGTGGGGGTTGGGGTTTGGTAAAGTACATTCTTGATTCTCATTCTCAGACAGGAATAGGGTTGGGGGTGCATGTAAATCAGAAAAAAACATGGAAGAAACATAATTGACTTAGTTCTCTACATAATATCTCTGCATAAACCTCTCATATATCTTTGTACTATATAGATTTGTTTCTCATACACATTCTCTTAATATATATAATGTATATATATATAGATGTGTCAAATATGATATATATTTATAATATGGCAATGATCATAAGACAGTACTTTTTCGACACGGTCTCCTACGGGCATTAGTGTTATATACAATAGTTTGGAAACAAGACCATTCTTACAGATATATTATATAAATAAATCCACAAAGCAGACAGTGCTGTAGAGTCACAACCACTGTGTTAAACACAGGTGTGATCGCCGTGGTAACCGCTGCACACTCGCCATGCTCCTCCACACCGAAGACTGGCATCAGAAATTCATTGGAGGGGTGGATTCTACCAAACGACGTGATCGGCAGGGCAGTGCGGAAGGGCGACCAACTGCCCAGCCCTGCACGTTTACACTTAGACAGAGAACCATTCCCTTCTTTTCTGATTTATTTTTTTTTTGTTCTGGAGGGGGCTACTTTCTACAAATCCAAGGTCCTAAAAACACTCCATTCACACCATAAAAAAGGCAAACCCAACGGTATAAAAATGCCAGTAACAATTAAACCATTAATAAATAGGAAGATATGAAGCTGCCTCTCTCAATCCTAAGTCTGGAAAATGACGAAAGAGAAGGAAACACTAAGTTTCCATCCGCAAATTCGAACACACTTAAGATCGGCTGATTCGGAGCTGTTATCATGGTAACTGCCCCCCCCCCCCCCTTCCAGGACAGAAAGGGCCTTCAGAAAAGTTGTGTTAGCTGTCCCGGCTGGAGAGGGCTACCTGGTGGCAGACGTGGGACGCACACCGAGGAAATGGACCGACTCCTACATTTGGACCCTATCAGCTACATGTGACTCTCGGGTTCATGCGGCAGTGTTGAATTATTAGCATTTTGAAACCGGCCTCTTGACCCTCATGCTAGTCCAGTCCACACACAGCGCGGTCAGATCCCCACCACCAGCACTTACTGCAACTGCGTCACAAGGCCGAGGCGGGAGCGGGGGGGGGAGGGGGGCGGGATGGACTCTGCTGCTCTTTGGAAACAGCGCCGCCTTAAACGCATGCATGCTTACCTTCCGCACAACTAAAACACACACGACATCCTATAATATACTTACATTTGGCAAGTGGGACAAGCTACGGCGTGTGAATCCGTTTACAGGAAGGGGCAGTACGGGCGTTTCCTAACGGTTCTGGTGCCATGGTAACCTGACATCCTTCACTTTTCAACACGATAAAGCAAAATTCACAACGCAAGATGCAAGCAAACCGGGAAAAGACCAAACAATTATATCACCCACGTATTAGCTATCGCTGCCTAGGAAAAATGTCTTCCTTTCAAATCATGACACTTTGATAATGGGATCGTTGCCACTCCGATCAAGCTGCTCTTCACTCCATTGTCTCGTCGTTAACCTGAGGAATTGACTGTAAACACTCCCTCCCCTCTCTGTCCATCCGTATGTTCATCCTTTTTGTTTTTAAATTTGTCCCGTATTCTTCCCTCTCAATCCCAGCTGGAAGTAACCATTTTGAGGTTGGGGGGTGGGGGGCACATTTATTGGGTGATATTTGTGACTGTGTCCACTGTTACCTCTCTGTACGGGGGGAGTCTAAAAGTGCATGTGTATAAGTAAAGGGCAAAGCAGCCAAGCAATAAGGCTTTCTTTTGGACTAAATGAATTGGCCAGCAGCTGAAACCTCATTGGTGTGAGCAGTGGGCGGGGCTCACAGTCAGCCTATGGCGTGAAGGCCAAGCACAGCGTCCCAACCCACCTTCCGCACTGGCGGAAAAAACACCTCACAGGAACTTTTGCACCTAGTGGTTGTGTCCACTTGACCGATTGAGAGTCCTGATAGATGCCTCCCCAAACTGTGGAGACAGAGTCTGTGCTGGGGGTAGGGGGGGTCCATTCAGGGGGTGTGGACAAACCATTTGAGGAACAGGGGATGAGAGGGGGCGCACAGGGAAGAATGAATGGGAGAGGGGATGGAGATACACAGGGAGAGAAAGTGGGAAAGGAGATGGGAGTCAGACTATGGATGAGAGTGTCTTTTCTCCGGCGTATGGGGAAGATGCAGCAGTTCGCACAGCATCGCCCGGGGAGAGGTCATTGAGTTCCCCAGAAGAGGACAGCGGTATGGATGGAGACAGGGAGATGCCGGACGAAGGGTCGGCGGAGCCGGCGAACGTGCGCGGGGGCTTGGGGACCAGGTTGGGCTCCAGGGTGGCACGAGCAAGCAGCTGATGCTCCTCCACCGCAACCATGTCTCCAGACCGCTCCTCCTGCGTGAACGAGCCCCGACCGGACTCCGACTCCCCATCCGAGAGATCCAGCGGGGGTGAAGCGCTGCCGTCCAGCTTGAAGAGGGAGTCCAGGAACTGGGCAAACTCCAGCACGGTCTGGCTGGGGCCGCCGTTGGGCAATGGAGGCAGGGAAGTGGATGGCTTTGAAGGCGCTTCTGCCCTCTCATTCTCTAACGCCTCCTCACCGGCCAGGCCTGCATGGGTGGGTGATGAAGAGTAGGGCCCACCAATCGTGTTAGAGGAACAGTAGGGGTGTGCCGCCCCCTGGTGGTAGGACTTGTCTATGACAGTTTGGGTCAGGGTTCTGGGTGGGAAGAAGTTGTTGTAGCTGGGAGTGCCAGGGGAGATTCGGTGGTAGACTGGAGGCGCGGGGCTAGAGTCTGGGGGGGTGGAGTAGGGCCCATGTTCTCCCAGGTCTGGGACAGGGTTGGCCTGGCTGAGGCAGTCAGCGGCCAGCAGCTCGGTACGGGAGCTGAGGGAGGGATTTTCCTCTGGGATGGGGGTGTCCAAGGGGAAGGGCAGCCCCCCAAGGTTGGGTGAGCCACGCAACGCTGCAGAGGAGCGCCGGGAATCCAGGCTGTAGAGCGACTCGGCGTCTGACAGGCTCTCCATCACAGCCAGGGGGGCGCGGCGGTCTCTCAGCTCCACAGTCAGCCGCTCCCGTGCCCCCTGCAGGACCACTGGCACCGGGGGAGGGGAGCACTCCGAAAAACCATCCAGGGAGATCTCAGAGCGGGCGCAAGACCTAGCGGAGAGGAGATGGTGGCAGAGGTGAAGGAAGAAGAAGGGAAAAAAAGAAGGGATTAGGGAAGAGGAAGGGAATGCAGACAAGAGAACAAACAGGAATGGAAAGCGGGATGGAAGATGGACAGGAGGATAAAATACAACGAGATTGACAGACGGGAAGCAGAAGGTGGAGGGGGTTTGGCAGGAGATACGGGGTAGGAGGCAGAGGAGGGTTGCAGGTCGTCGTCACTGCCTGAGCGTACAACAGATCTACTGGTACAAGAGCACAGGACTGCACTGGGATCAGGATGAGGAGGGGGGCGGAGCACAGGGACAGCGTTAGTGACCTAACAAAACCTGCACATCAACAAGACTGCAAGTAAATGTAGTAGAGACACAGTGGCACAGCCAAAACAGACAGTATCACATGAAATGTACAACACACAGACACACACACATGTATATACACACACACACGCACCCAAATAAACACACAAGAATCTGTGGGTGTGGGGTTAGTCACACATGGACACACACAGACAGTGACGCAATAGGGATAAAGTCACGCACCCTAGGAGAGCCTCCCACACCGACCTGACGCTGCTGTTCCTGCGGTGCTGGGTGATGGGGGTAGGCCGCTCTGAGACCAGGGGCCCCAGCAGCACCGTGTCAGGGTTCAGGTCCACCTCTGTGGGGCTCACCATGATCTTGGCCGCCGATAGCAGGGCCGTCTTCCCCTTGTTGTAGTTCTCCAGGACCTGTGGGCAGGAATGAGGACGAGGCCGGTTTGTATGGAACCACGTGGGAGGACGAGCAGGCAGATCTGGAGCCGCCGGAGGAGAACGGATACGACGTTTTTTTTTTTTTTTTCTCAAGTTATTTTTAATCAATAACGCTGCAGTTACATAAGCCTTCATAGAGCCTTTCCAGAAGCACTGCCGCGCATACTCGACACTTCCTGTATTTACGCACATGGTGGAGAGTTAACACCCTCCGCGAGGTTCACAGACAAATACACAGAGAGCAAACACCACACTGTGGCTACAGAGAGCCGTTTAATTTCCCATAATGCCTTGTGGATATCAGCCCGTTCTCACTATCAGCATGCTGATGTAGCCTGCCCGTCCCTGCTTTACCAGGGCATCCAGCAGAGGGTGGAAATGAAAGTGCAAGCTACACAGGAATCGTGCGAAACAGTGAACGGCGCCCTGAGCGCAAGGCCATTACAGGCCGCGAGCGTGATCCATGCCGCGGTGCCTTCCGGAAGCATTTGCAGTTTCATTCGGCTGAGCGGGTTGCGGCTGTGAGGGGAGACGTCAACTAAAAGGTGCTCCTGCGGGAATCGGCGTGACCCTTCAGTGGAGCCCCTGGGAGACACCAGTTTTGCAGAATCACTACTGAAGTCTCAACCGTACCTTCCTGATATACCGTCATGGCAGAATCCTGAGTGATATAATACCCAAATGACACCAGCCTGCGACCTGCGTCACCATGAAAAGGTTTTATGCAGATATATCAAATGACAGCATTTGAAGCCAGGTTATGCAAAATGTTCAGAACATTAACTGCCTAAGGACCTATGGGATAAACTCCTACTTTTCCTATGAATTAAAGAACCTGGGAAAAAAAATTGTGTACCATTTGTTGATGGAGTCAGTGTCTCTGATGTTTTTTATTAATCACATCAGGGTGATCTGGGCCAAGGAACAGTGAGATCAGAGCAAACAAGAGCCAAGTTTCTCTTCCCGTCGTGTAAAATAGACCACCAACACCCCTCCCCCCGGAGTTTGTTATTGCGCCAACCTCAGTCAAGGTTACATTTCAGGCACCTGGACTGAACGGAGTACATTACACTTTGCAATGACATTCAGGAGGGGAGTATGACCCATTTATAGGTACTGCAGTCCCCTCTCCGCTGTGCGTAGCCGGGGAGACGTGCCGAGCGTGACTGATGTCGATCCCCACACTGCTTCTTCCATCCCGAAGCGTAAACACACCAAAGGGCCATGGAGATCTGCACCAGGATCACTGCTGCCCTTTGAGTTAAAGCAACTGCATCCCTTAGTCCTGAAGGTCCAAGGCCCGTGGATCAAACCCAAAACAAGAACATGAACCAACCTGTGTTTAGTCGAACAATCCATCAATATAAAAAAAACATATTTGTCTTTTTTTTTAAATGATGGGCTGATATTAATTTTAGTATCAACGTCCTGTACAGCTTAACAGCAGTAAATGTGTTAGTAAATTTCATGCAGTCTTCTACTTATGGAAGGCAACAGTCCACAATCTGTCCCAAATGCCACGTGTGCCCCTTGCCCCCACCCAACCCTATTTTAGGGACCACTGACGTTTTTAAACAATGGCCACATTCTATGGGTAATGTGTACCTAATCTTGCTAGGCATCGCTGCAGTGGTTGGAGCAAACAACGTGAATTACCAGAATCAGCAGACCACACAGACCACAACAGAAACTATACGGACACAAAAAGCTAGTGACGGACATTCTCACACGCTGAAGACCACACGGGCAAGCACACGGTGGCGAACTGTGACCTCTTTAATGAGTTACAAAGATTGGCAGAATTCAGATTCATGTCTTTAAGAAAAAAAAGTCAAAGCAATTAATACATATACATGCAATGACAATACACATCTATTATGCTATAACTGTGCATTTTAATTCACAGAGGCACATGAATGACAAATATCTGAACACTGAATGAGGACTGGGGAGTAACAGACACATGGGAAGAACACATGGAAAATTCAAATAAAATATGAATTCTCCTTGTAAATATGTAAAACATGAGTAATCGCGTATAAACACCATTGGCTACTGTGTGGAAGAACGAAAAGGAAAGGCACCGAACCATCACAGTTCTGGAGTCAGTCTCGATTGGCTGGAGCACCCATCAATAAGGAATGGCTCTCTCTGGATTGGCTTCGCAGGGGGGGGAAGAAAAGGCACGCACATCTCCAGTTTGGCTTGATTGGCTCACACGCTTGAAGAAATAGCTACTGTCAGTTGTGTTGAAAAAATTGTAAAAAAAAAAATAATAAAAGAACACAATGTTACCACATTGGTTTCACCTCTAATTAACTAAGCGCTGATTAACTGGACTGCTAAAAGTGCAAATATTTCTTAACAGCAAGAGGCTGGAGGGCTGTTTATTATAAAATGCTCCGCATACATAACCCCCTCTCCGCCCCAGCAAAAATATACAGCACCAGTATCCGGACTAGATTATTAGTCACTCACGCATACCAAGGTCAGGAAAACTGAGGTGTTAGAAGACAAGCTACCACACAGTATTACGAGAGCTGGAAGACAGATGCACCAAGCATCCAAAGAGCCTTTCCACCCTTGAGCTGCTTCCGTTAGCACACTGGCTAGATTCATATTCTACTTCAACTGATTATGAGCCAAGTCAGTTCATATGAAAGCTGCTGATCACATAACAATCACAAATTGTATATTGAGTACTGTATACAATTTCAGCAAAGGCGCAAAAAAAAAATGGGTTTCTTTGATTTATATGGCAATCAGTAGCACTAGGAAGGAATCTGTGAGCATAATCGTGCGATCCAAGACTTTGGCTCAGGAACCTGACACGAGGAGGGCTTTCTGTGGCTTCCAAAATCACTTGAATAGTGAATTTCAGCGCTACTGGTCTGAGTAGCGACTAGTGCATATTCAGCCCCCCTGGTACGACTCAATCATTTACTACATTAAAACCCCAAAACTAAACCTGAACATCAGGACGTCATCCATGCCTGACATAGATGATGCAATCAGTAATGAAGCTGCTTCAAGGCATAGCAAGGTCTTTAAAGAGGGGCGGGATGGAGATACTAATAACTACAACGATCTTCATGTATCTGGAGAGAAAAGTGCATGTTAATCAGTGTGGAGCAGTGGTGGTTCCAGCAGGCCAGGCAGGACTGAGTGTGGGGGAAAGAGGGTGTTTGCGATGGGGTTAAAGGGGTGTAGCTGGTGGGCCTCCAGCCTCCGAATCCTCCTGCTCATCTTCTCTCCACTCTGCTCTGTGAAAACTGCTTTCCAGCACCTGTCGAGACACCAGCAGAAGTTACGATGCAGACACAAGACGTAGAAAATAGACTCAAGGACCCCAGCAAAGGTCTATTTGTCATCTACATCGTAAACGTACACTTAGGGGGTTTGGTTTCTACTTTAAAAGTCCTGCATGTGACCTTCCCATAAAACAATTAGGGTTACAGCCTATTTTGACAGTCTGGCAAGAGATTCCATTACAACGACTCTGTGTTTTTAGGAATGTATGATTTAATGTCCTTTCCAGAATGTTCCACTTTGTTCTTTTCTAAACCTTGGGAACTGCTAACCATCCACATATGCCAGTATTAAGGCAGCAGGTGTCTTTAGCATTCATGGTCACTGCCGTGCTTCTTCAGCGGAGATCCACACACCTGGACAGTATCATTCCAACAGTTTATACATTTTCCCATCCATCATTCCCCAGGGTCATGTAGTTGATCTTTCTTGACCCACCAGAATCATTCCAATAAACATCCTTGGCTCTGACCTCATAGAAGCATTCCAATCAGTCAATGCTTCTTCCCTTTCAAGAAGCTTAAGCCCGAATGAACAGTCTACCAAATTTGGTGCCGATGGCTAAAGTGCATACAGTGCATACAACAGCTGTTTCCATAAACTTTTTTGGCAAATAAGCTCATTTTGAATGGTTTGACAAAATTAAATTGCAAATACACTTTCCATGACACACGGTTAATACTTGCCATTTATCATACCACAAGATTTAAATTCATTTCTCATAATTCAGCATGGAGGATGTTACAAAGAACACCGTGTATGTCGGCAGCGAAAACGCGTTCTGTTCTTGTGATACTTGAGTTGAAAACTGCGATGGGGAAATTTATAGGATGTGAAATGGGAGGTGTGGTTGTTGAGGTGCACATTGCTGATACTGCATAGAGTAGGCCGCTTGCGAATAATTACCCAAACGTAAATCATCAAGAAACACCGTGTTTACTCAGCGCAGAAGGGTAGTTTTGAAATTATTATTTTTTTATATCAATAAATTAAGTCCCATCAGTAATATAAATTCAGTTGTCACTGTTTTTAAAGTAGAACTGCACAGAATTACTGTACATAGCTCTTCTACGTTACGATTTCTGTTGCAATTACAGTTTTGCAAATTACTTCTTTTTCAAATTGCCAATAAATTCCACATCAAGCGAAACTATACATTTTTGTGATAATTCAGTTATTTTTCTTTTGAAATTTGAGTGTCTCCATTGGTGGTCCGCTGGTTCATATATAAGACGCATGAAATCTAGGTCAAAGGAAAAGCCAGTAATGACCTTTCACTGGAGACACCGGTATTACAGTAATAATGAAAGTGCCACGTCTATAAAACCTTGTGAGCTATACATTCCAGTAGTACAAAACACCAATATCATACGAGGGATAGAAATAACTGAGGCATATATGTACAAAACAATTTGCACGATAACTATGTTGCTCCCACCATCAACAGCAAGTCATACTAATGTGTCAAAATGGTAAGTGTTTAACGTACATACTTCAGATAGGTGTGACACTAGCCAGGTTTGCTAGCAAGGAATTCTGTTTAATTGGCCCATATCAAAAACCAAATTAGACATCTCGTTATGGGGACATTTAATGGAATAGAAACACAGTTTAAGTACAGTAACCCCTAGCAGCATGAAGCTCAGACAACTAAAAAAAAATGATTAGCATCACGACCTGAACTCCTATGGGGCCTCATTATCCCTTATCTTAAGTCTGCATGAAGTTCACTTGATTTTAATGAAAGTTCTTCCCAAAATTTTAATATCAGAATATGCTTGAAATAATTAAGATTCCAGGATTTATTCTGGCTTAACAGTAAATAGTCCATATTTATGTTAAAATCTCCACCAACACAAAATGTCAAAATTCCAGTCATTCTTTTTAAAAAAAAAAAGCAGTTTTTTTTTTATGAAAAACATAAATCATATCTGTCAATCATCAGCCTCCCAAACCTCGTGAACCTTGAACACAGTGGACTAGTGCAACAATTAGAAATATGTGGCAAGACCATCCTGGATGGTGCCATTAATGAGCTCCTCAAGGCTGCTAGGAGGACTAAAATTATTATATTTCACCTCCATCTGAGCAGCATCTGATCCTAATTACACAAACCTAACTACACCCTCACGCTCCTAATGCTCCAACAATCAATCACAACAGGCATTCCGTTGCCTGCAGCTTGCACCCAAATCTCTTTGACCTGATACATATACACAGTATGCATCCAAAATACACCCCCCCCCAAACAGGAGTGCTCTGGAATGTTCTCCCTCCATGCAATATACCAAAAACGAACACCTGAGCAAAAAAAAAACAAAAAAAACAAAAAAAACTAGAGAATCACGCCTTCAAAGCCAGAGATGGCATCAAATTAGGATTAGGAAAAAAAAAAATCAACTTTGAGGTCACAGTCACACACACCATGGGGTTTCCACGCAAACTCCTCCCATTAGAAGAAATTAAGCATATTGCAGTACATGTATGGGACATAATACAGAAAAAAACAACATCCATGCTGGTCAGCCAACTAAGCACTGTAAGCTGGTTACTTTTGCAAAGCATGACTGCAAAAACAGAGAAGTCCACATACAAAACAATGCAGGGTGTTGCATAAGATCTACGTTGCATATCTGCTAAATCCGTCCAGTCCTATTATGCGGTTCATGCATTTATGATTTCCACCCTTCCGTTTTTCCCAGCCTGAGCTAATGATCCTAAATGCTGAGACAGGCTGGCTGTCTACACACCTGCATGGGTCTACGTTGTGTGTGTGGCAGGTTCATGTGGAGAAGCAGCTTGTCAGTCACGCTTAACTCTGCGAACCGACAAACAGCCACGCCCAAACTGTCTCCCCTGAAACCTCCAAGCCACATCTTATTTCGCCTGCAATTTCATCCAAAGGGCATGGAAGAGATTTTAAATGATTAACAAACAATGTAACCCCCTGCCTTGTGCTCCAGGGTGCCTGGGAGGTACTGGATTAGCAGGATGAACAGAATAAAGCCAGACCTAGGGTGTTCCGTTAAGCAACGGTGTTTTAGCTGCAACTTATGCGAATCGCACAGACAGACAGACAGACAGACAGACAGACAGACAGACAGACAGAGACAGACAGACCACACCACACACACACACACCAACCTTATTGAGGCCCTCCATCACCATGTGCGGTAGGTGTTCATTCAGCATTGCGGGGGAGATGATGACCTCATCAAAAGTCTTGTTGTCCCCCCATAGGGCAAAGTAGGTGGGCTCTTCCTGACCACAGCTGTGTATGGATAAATGGAGAGGGGGGGGGAGGTTTGTAAAACCTTCAGAATGCAAATCAGAGCCGTCCATCTACACTGCAAAATCACGTAGGCCACACCATTTCTCATCAGCACGGTGCGGCGTGTTACCGCCACAGTATGTTAGTCAGAGTGCGTCAGTGCATGACAGTCACAGGGGGGTCACACTGCATCGCAGCCTCACTGTCACACTCCGCGGGGCTCGGCCTGTCCCAGCCGCAGTGTGCCACCTTCCCCTGTTTACCTGTCCTCCGCGATGTCTCACCATTTCTCTGGTGGATGGTTGTGCACCACGTGGATGACTTTGCCAGGTGGGTACAGAGGAGTGGAGGCAGACAGGGCAATGCTGAGGTCACTAGGGGGCGCCGCAGACTGTGGCTGGGGATCGTCGTCCAAGGGGAGCTCAGATTTTGGGATGCACCTGGTGCCCCCCATTATTATCCGCCACTGGGGGGGAGAGACACACACATCATCAAAGCTTCGTTTTTTGTTTATAAAGAGCACAATACCGTACAGAAAAACATGGAACTCTTATAATTCACAGCGAGCAGCTGTTAAGCAGTGTTTGGAGGATGAGAAGCAAAACTGATCTCTTACTTTTGGCTTGTCACTCTTCCGTAAAACTTCCAGCAGGTGGCGTCGGAACCCTTCCAGTTGAGATAGGCCGATCCTGACAGGCAGGTGACAGAACAGGTGAAGGCTCCATAGCAACCAAACAGTCACCTCACACACACACACACACACACACACACACACACGCGCTACCGCAGCTGCAGACTGCAGTCTATTCTCAGGCACAGACAGAGGCACACCAACCTTGGGACCAGATCCTTCCCCAGAACCACTGAGGTGACAAACTCTTTGGAGTACTCCATGGCATCCTCACTGGCAGGGTTGCGGGGGCGACACAGAGGGAGACCGAGAGGGCATCAGGAGAACACAAGGCAGGTCTCACTGCACAGGAGCACCCCTGTTCTTATCCAGATGCTCAAAAAAAAACCTCAGACTAATAAAGCCATACAACTAGACATCCAGCAAACAAATGGCTGGCTATTTACCCACAATCCACCACGGTCTGATTTAGAAATGCACTCTCACCTGAGGAGGCCGCCGGGAGGGGAGTAGGCGTAGCAGTGCAGCGTGGGATACTGATGGCGCAGCAGGAAAGACAGGATGGTGGCGGTACCCGCCCCCAGCGAGTGACCCACGATGACCAGGCCGTAGTGTTTGGTGCCTTTTCCCTGAGTGGGGGGGGGGGTTTAGACACTTGGTAAGAAATCGCCAATATTTTAAATCACATGACAACCCATCACCGCCCTCAGTACGGGCCTATGACGCCGATAGCTATCGGAAATCCGGCCGAGCCCCTCGAAGGCTGGAACAACGCAAATGCTGGCCAGTGTCTGGACTTTGCACCCCCCCCCCCCTCCTCCCCCAAGTCCTACACACTGCTGGGCATGAGAAGACTGACGCAGACTCGGGGCGAAGCGCTTTGTCACATACCAGATCTCTCCCGAACGCCTGTGATAAAATCATCTCCTGTTCCAGCTTCTTCTTGATATACTCAGCTGAGAACACCATGCCCTGGAGAGAGCGTGCGAGAACATGAGAATGACCCTCAGCAGAAGAGGCGAAGCCAGATGCGAGAAGCATCAACTACTATCCAGTTGGGGTGTGCGAGCGTGGGTGAGGAAGGGGGCGGAGCTTGCAGAGCTCACCTTATGCCCCAGCCAGGTGCCATGCTGCTCCTCCACAGGGAGGCGCTCTGAGTCTCCCGTTAGGTCCGTCAGGGCATCCTGCCAGAGAGGGGGCACAGATTGGACCCAACATACAGATGCACGCATGTGTATATACACATATACACGGTAAGTTCCGGAAAGGAAAGTCATATTCCACGGGAAATTAATGGATGTGGGTCATCAAACGTTTTCATAACCCAGAGCATAATGGAGGACACTTCTGAGAATCTGGCAACCAGAGCTGTCCAAAGTGGTACTAGCAGCACCTCCCAGTAACTACATTTAATCTCTAACTAAATAAAAAAGTGTAAAACACCAAAGTGTTTTAGTGTTCCTCCAAACCACTACTCCATATCCATCCAAATGGAATCTGGTCAACCTAATTTGTTGCAAAGTGTGAGGAATGTGTAGGGGGTGTGTGTATAAGTATGCCTGCTGGTGCCTCTAATGCTGTGATGTGTATAAGTATGCCTGCTGGTGCCTCTAATGCTGTGATGTGTATGAGTATGCCTGCTGGTTCCTCTAATGCTGTGATGTGTATAAGTATGCCTGCTGGTGCCTCTAACGCTGTGATGTGTATGGGTATGTGTATGAGTATGCCTGTTGGTGCCTCTAATGCTGTGATGTGTATGAGTATGCCTGCTGGTGAATCTCTGAAGCTAGGATGAAATGCCTTGCGATTACACATGGGGACAGAAAAACAAGTAACTAAGTATGCGTGTGTGTGTGTCTATCTGAATATTTCACTTCCTACATATCTGTTTTAGCCATTAAATCAGCCATGTTACCATTTAATACGAGTATGCTGTGTGCGACTCAGCAGGTTAAAGGCCTCCGGGTCTAGTCACATGTTCAAATCCAATCCTCGTCAGTCACATCTGTGTTGGGCCCTTGAACAAGTCCATAACCCCCCGAAAAGTTTCAAGGGCACCGGACAAACGGCGTAACCCTGCCATCATACCCCAAGATTCATTTTCAGACTCATGTGTGTGTCTCAAAGGAGAGTAAGATGGTATATGTGAAATCCAATGTACTGTAGCAAGTAGTAGATTAAGCATCATTTCATTTTAAATGTGTCCTTTTTTGTTTGAGAACTGAACAGGTTTTCACTGAAACTGAATGGATGTGACAGTGTTTTGGGCGGAGGCAGCCTCACAGTGAACGTGTGTGTGTGGAACTTTAGTGGCAGGCCTTTATAAGGCCGGGGAGTCAACATGCTGTTATTTGTGTGCTATATTACAGTCAGCCTTGAGAATATTTGAACAAGAAAGTGCCGTTTGATGTTACTGCGCCTTGCCTTTAGATGAATTTCATTGCTGAATGAACGTGAATAAATCAAAAACATTCTTTGGGAGGATTATTTCGGAGGTTTACTGAATTGCAGCCCGACCAGCTATTATCCAGAAATAATAGCTGACCATAAGTGTAAATTAGCGGGAGAACGTTTTAAAATTAATTTGAGAAAGCACTTCTTTACACAGCGTGTAGTTAGAGTATGGAATAGTCTTCCTGCTAGTGTAGTGGAAGCTAAAACCCTGGGTTCCTTTAAATCAGAGCCAGATAAGATTTTAACAACTCTGAGCTATTAGTTAAGTTCTCCCCAAACGAGCTTGATGGGCCGAATGGCCTCCTCTCGTTTGTAAATATCTTATGTTCTTATGTTTGAATTTAAAATGCTCCTTCTTTCAACCCCAGAGAACAGGTCAAAATTCACACTACAGATGGTTGAACTGAAACCTCCCTCATTTAAGAGGAGTGGAAAGAAAAGCAAAGAAAAAAGCTAAAACAAAAAGACCCTTATCATCCTATGTGGAAGCTGGATAGCAGTACCATCCAAGGCAATGGACCGGCTAATCGGGCCCAGCAAGTCCAAATGCTTCCTGGGATAGGCTCCAGGCTCGACAGGACCCGGTACTGGATAAATGGTTATGGAGGGTGGAGGGAAGCCCAAGTCTGCATGCTGACGGCACGGGTTCGACTGCAGTGTGGGAGAGCGAGCGAGTGCCTATGGTCTGCGTAAAAAGGGCCGGCGGGACTGGGTGTCGGTCCCCTACCTTGGGTGACAGAGTTCCCCGAATACTGATGACGACCTTCTTCTTTTCATGGTCTACTGCCACGAAGAACGGAGTCTCGTACACCTGCCCGAGCAGAGGTGACAAAGGACAGACATATAGGCTGCTTCATTTGTTTGTTTGTTTATTTGGGTTTTGGCAACAGAACTGGCTTCGGTCCTGCCGGCAAAGCTCATTAAAAATTTAACCTTGTGCAAGAGGATAAGTCAGCAGGAGGGAAAGCGAGCCGACTCGAACAGACATGCTGACCCTAGGTACCTGTGACCCCAAAGGCTGACCCTTAACCCCTCCCCCACTCACGGCATCATGGCAGGACGTGTAGACGATGTGGACCTGCTTCAGGTCCTGGTCCAGGAAGTGTCTGCGGATAGCCAGCACGTTACAGCCACAGCAGTTGTCTTCCTCCACGGTTACGGACTGGTACATGCGGGAGCCAGAGACTGGAACGCAGCTGGAAAAAACGGGCCGGGGGGGGGGGTGGTGCTATTACCGGCAGGGTTAGACTGTGGTGGAGTCCCGCCGCAAACACGGCAGGAGGCTGCATTTATCCACGACCGACGGGGGTTTATTTCGGGTTAATGCGAGCCGGGCGGAGCCCCAAGGGTGAGTATGTGCCTGCGCACGTGTGCCAGTACTGGCTGGATATACGAGGACAGCCGGGCTGCACCCTCCGCTGAGTCACTCCAGCCACGCCGCAGCACGTGCGAAGGTCTCCGGCGGGTGTTGGTCGTGCGGGACGGGAGGCGGACTCACGAACAGGAGCTGGCTAGGTGGCACAGGCCGCAGGCAGGCCTTCTCATCAGGTACATGGGCCAGCCGTACGCCGCTAGGGCAAACAGCATGTAGTAGCACACGTCTCTGTACATGGCCATCTCAGCCTGGAGGAGCAGACACACACACAGGGGATTTCAAATTACTCACATTCTGTCTCACTGTTGCCCCAACACCACCAAGGCACCAAGGCATGTAACCCAGGGGGACCAGCATCCACTCAAGACCCACGGCAGACTGCCCTCGAATAGCGCGGGGCGCCGCGAATAACCACACATTACATTTCATAACCAGAAACAAACTGCTTCTGCATGCCGTACATGCGCTTCCCTGCATAAGCAGAAAAGAAAATGCTAATTTAAACGGGGCAGCACTTTGGCCAGACATCAAATGTACTGGCCAAGACGGAGGGACTGATCGCACAGGAAAGACCAGGCGAGATTCGCTCGGTGTCAGATGCAGGACAGGAGCTGAGATTTGAAATGATTCAATCCGAAGTGACGCGATGAATCAGAAACTGGTCTGGCAAAAAATAGCTTAACACGCTGTATTGAGCTACCCTGTATGCAGGGCTGAAATCTCTATTCAAACCACAGAAATCCCATAATTAACACAAATGATCTAATTCAGCCATCTTCAGATATTATGACGATATCAAACTGAGCATTTTGGCTAAGAATTTAGTATGGTCTTAAGGGAATAGAATCTTGATCAAAGAAAGTAATCCTGTGGCAATTCTTACTCTCAGATGACAGAGTAACACTGACCGTACAGCTCTCTGTACTCTTAGAAAATGTGTTTTTAATTACTCCCTTGCATGCCTGGCTTGGGCTCTTCATACATTTTAACTTGGAGATAGTTTGTGTCCACTGTAAACAGAAAATTGACACCCCTGCTAACAAGCTCTGCTCATGCCTGTCAAAGCAAGGCTGCCCCCCCCTGCCCACCCAGCCCTCCCCCCCATGCAGTACAGAACTCACAGAGTTCTTCAGGTCCAGATATCTGGTGCTCCGGGTGACTGGAATTCCAGATAGGAAGGCAATAATGTCATTGTTGGCCTGGTGAGAAACACACAGCACCAACTTCAGGTTGTTTTTTTTAAACACACAATCCCACCTAAACAGCTCTCCTATTCTCCACCCTCTCCCTCCCCCATACCTGTTCCAAGATGGCAGATCGCTTGGCCCTCTGTCTCTGCCTCAGCAGCACCAGACCAGCAATGATGTCACTTGGCACAATGTCCAGGTCCCTGAAGAACTCAGCAAACAGGCTGGCTACTTCTGAGTATGCGTCCTGGAGAGCAGGCAAGACATGACTACATTTGGGCCCTAACTCTAAGGAGAGGGACATCTTACAACAGATCTTTGAGTTCTTACGAGAAAATGAGCCAAGGGGCAAGAGTAGTAACAGGCTTATAGGAACGCATCATTTTAGTTAGCAGCAGCTAACCCAATTAGCATGGGAGTTCCACATTCTGGCCAGTAGGGGGAGACACTCACGGCCTGGGAGTCCTGTGCTCTCGTGCAGCACATGAAGAACTTGAGCCTCCGGCTCCAGCTGCTGGCCTGCCCTTCCTCTAACCGGTGTCTGAGAGGGGAGACAGTCTGTTCACCCTGACAGCACTGAGGCCAAACAGCATATCTCCGGTTCACAGCCACGTCCCATAAATACCCTAGTGCAGCATTTCTGACATATTCGGTGACGGCCAGAATGAATGGAAGGCTGGCGTCAAGGTATACGTGCGCAAGGTATTGGTGTCAAGGTATCAAATGCGGACCTGTCGAGGAACGGACCGCAGGCCTGTCACTGAGCAGCGGCGCGCAGGCCTGTCACTGAGCAGCGGCGCGCAGGCCTGTCACTGAGCAGCGGCGCGCAGGCCTGTCACTGAGCAGCGGCGCGCAGGCCTGTCACTGAGCAG